AGGGGGATTTCAGCCCTCCCTCTAGAAAAAGCGGCAATCGACTACTCAGGGGAGTTTTAAAATGTTGAAAAAAATTTAATTGGATCCCAATCGGAATTTTATTTCTTAAAATTTGTGGACTAAAAGACTTCCTATTCTTTATTTTCTATTTTTATTTTCACTGAAGATCGGGGTTTTTCCTTTATAAAACAAAAGCAAAACTGAAAAGATTAAAATAACTTTGGGGCTCAAAGGACAGCTTCTAATGGTAGGAGCGACATCTTGTGGCTAAACTTGATTTTTCAATCTGTTATTGTCTAAAAGAGACTTGGCTGACAGCCCAGAAAATAGATAAGACACCTGCAACCTTGAAACATTAGAAGCTCAGCTGTGCTCCTAAATCAGTGGAAAAAAAACTTTCTTTTTGAAATCCCTGACTGTAAAACCTCTAGTCTAGCACACTATCATGGAAGAAAATCAGGAACAGACTTTTCTGATGGAGGAGGATCAGGAGCAAATTCTTTACATGTTGAAATAATTCCTTCAAACTCTTATTATAGCTGGTGAAGAAATAAGAGGCTATAGAAAAAAAACAAGAAGGCAGCCTGGACTTGCAAACTCAAACTTTAATCACAACTAAAGAATTACCTATACAGAATGCAACAGAAAAGGTAGAACAATTAAATACTACGACAGAAGACTTAATTGCTCAACATACACAGATAAAGGAAAATTCAGAAAAGAAACAGATAATATGGGAAAAAGAAAAGATTTTCTAAATAAACCAGAAGGAACCTGAGGTTCAAGAAGAACAGATGGAAAAGAAGACAAACAGTTCAAGACAACCACGTCAAGATGGAAAAACAAAGAGTCGACCTCCTAGAACGGCTAGTCCTCTCAAAAAAATGGCAACTGGATGGTATCTTCAATGTCAAATAAAAAATATAACAATACAAGGATATCTGTTTGATGACTCAAAACCACAGCCATGGAAGACGATTTGGCAATGAAAAAAAGCTACAATAAGACTGAAGAAGAATGGGATTTCGGTTTACTTATGAGAATTAAAATGGAATAGACTTAAATAGATTAGATGTGTACTTTGAATATGAACTGAGATAAAGGAAATTTTAGCCATTTAAAATTTAGAAGTATAAGTATTGATAATTAAATTTGAATACTGATTTGTCAATAATGGTCATGTAAAGGTGATTAGATATATATATAAGCTAAAAAAATTGAAGAATGTAATAAATGTGTTTTTATGTAGCATTAAGAATAAAAATCATTAGCTTAAATACAAGATAGTAGATACAAAGAGGAGGAGAGAGGAAGTATTAAACGTTGAAATAAAAGAAATTTTGGTTACTAATTTAAGATATTTGGAAATTACTAGAAAATAAGAATATTATATACTGTATTATTAATTTGTTGGTGTAAATGGCAAGAACGTAAATAGATAAGACCTGTATTCTGAACATCAGATTTTGTGAAGAATTGTGATAAAGGGAATTGGGGTCATTAGGCCTACTTATGAGAATTAAAATGGAATAGACCCAAATAGCTAAGATGCATACTTTGAATATGAACTGAGAAAGAAAATTTTAGCCATTTAAAATTTAGAAGTATAAATATTGATAATTAAATTTGAATATTGATTTGTGCATAATGGTTATGTAAAGGTGATTAAGATATATATAAGCTAAAGAAAATTGAAGAATATAATAAATGTGTTTTTATGTAGCATTAAGAAAAAAAATTACTAGCTTAAATACAAGATAGTAGATACAAACAGGAGGAGAGATGAAGTATTAAACATTGAAATAAAAGAAATTTTGGTTACTAATTTAAGATATTTGGAAATCATTAGAAAATAAAAATATTATACTTGATGTAAATGGCAAGAACGTAAATAGATAAGACGTATATCCTGAACATCAGATTTCGTGAGGAATTGTGATAAAGGGAATTGGGGTCATTTATAATTTGGAAATGAACAATATTAAACATTAAATCTAAATGTTAATGGTAAATCAAAATTGGGAAAAAGTCATTAGGTTATTGATTGTCAAAAAGATTGAGTGTTAATATAAATAATATATATATATAAACTAAAAACTATTGAAAAAATGCAAGAAAGTTGCTTCTATGTGATTATTAGAATAAAAATTGTTTTAATTCAAATATGAAACACTGTATATTAAGAGGAAAAGAGAGGAAATATTTACTGTATTAGGTTGAGATTTGTACCAATCTTATTTGTATGTAATTGGATTATTGTAACTCAGTCGCCACATTGCTTTTCGATTATGTAGTTGTAACATTAGAAAACCAATAAAATTTATAATAAAAAACCACAAAGATAAGCTAAAGTAAAACATCACTTGCCCATTTTTTAGACTTGAAGTTTAAATACAGCAAGTATCTTGAATAAATTCAAACCCATGAATACTATTTCCACTCTATGAATCCCTTTTGGCAATAGGAAAACCCTTGTCAAAAAGATATTGAGAGTTTAAGTTGTCTCCGGTAGGAACAAATTCTCTCTCCCAATTTCTTTGAGACAACTAATTTCATTCATAGATGCATTTTCATTCTAAATAACCTGTAAAATTATTGAATATATACCAAAATGAAGACCTTTATTCAGTACATATCAGACTTTGCTCTAGATCTCTCAGAAATATTGAGTTCTGAAACTTGAATAAACTAAGAAACCAATTTTGAAAATATACCAAATGCTTTTCTTTTTTACTATTAGCACAACTGAGCACAAATAGATCCAGAAAACTACACACCTTATCAGCCTGATCTCAATACCTGGGAAGATTCTGGAAAAGATAATCAAACAATGACTCAGCAAACATCTAGAGACAAACAAAGTCATTACTAAAAGCCAACATGGGTTTGTCAAAAACAGATCATGCCAGACAAATCTTATTGCATTCTTTGACCAAGTGACAAAATTAATGGAGCAGAGGAATGCTGTGGATATAATTTACTTGGACTTCAGTAAGGCATTTGATAAAGTAGACCACAACCTACTACTTGATAAGATAGAAAAATGTGGGTTAGACAGCATCACCACCAGATGGATTTGTAACTGGCTGACCAACTGCACTCAACATGTAGTCCTCAATGGAACTGCATCTATATGGAGGAAGTATGCAGTGGGGTATCCCAAAACTCTGTTTTAGGCCCACTACTCTTCAACATCTTCATCAATGATTTGGATGAGGGGACAGATGGAGCCAACACTCCAGAAGATAGGCTTAAGATACAGGATCATGACAGACTTGAACATTGGACGCTATCTAACAAAATAAAATTCAATGGTGAAAAAAGTAAGGTACAGTATGGGTGGTACCTCGCTCAATAGTAGTAGCTGTGAGAGGGATCTTGGAGTCCTAGTGGACAATCACTTAAATATGAGCCAGCAGTGTGCTGCAGCTACCAAAAAAGCCAACACAGATCTTGGCTGCATTAACAAAGGGATAGAATCAAGATCACGTGAAGTATTAATACCACTTTATAATGCCTTGGTTAGGCCACACTTGGAATACTGCATCCAGTTTTTGTCACCATGATGTAAAAAAGATGTTGAGACTCTAGAAAGAGTTCAGAGAAGAGCAACAAAGATGATTAGGGGACTGGAGGCTAAAACATATAAAGAACGGTTGCTGGAATTGGGTATGTCTAGTTTAATGAAAAGAAGGACTAGGGGTGACATGATAGCCGTGTTCCAATATCTCAGGGGCTGCCACAAAGAAGAGGGAGTCAAGCTGTTTTCCAAAGCATCTGAGGGCAGGACAAGAAGCAATGGATGGAAACTAATCAAGGAGAGAAGCAACCTAGCAATAAGAAGAAATTTCCTGACAATTAACCAGTGGAACAACTTGCCTCCCAATGTTGTGAATGCTCCAACACTGAAAGTTTTTAAGGAGATTGGACAACCATTTGTCTGAAATGGTATAGGGTTTCCCGCCTGAGCAGGGGGTTGGACTAGAAGACCTCCAAGGTCCCTTCCAACTCTGTTATTCTATTCTAAATATATATTTACTGCAAAAGGTTACAGAAAGATTTTCACAGTATGGACTGTCATGAAATAATAAATTACAATATTGACATTAAAAATGTGACCCACATGTAAAAACTCAATAACAGCTTGAGCTAAGATTTTTAATATGATTTACTGATATTTTTGGAGCAATCCCTATATAAAACTAAGCTATATAAATCACACTGGTTTTAATGAAACTAAATGGGATTATGTGTTTTCAATTGTTCTGTAGAAATCAAAACACATTGCTACATTTGAGTTGGTTCCTGTCCAATATTTTAATGTCCTTACATTAATTACAGAAATTTAGATATAAATTCCTTTTACCTGAATTTCAGAATTTGCATACTATTACATAACAAAGTACTTTGACTTGCATTTGGCATTAATGCTTTTAGAACCTGAATAGGATTTTTTCAGAAAAACAAAAAGGTCTTTACAGTCAATTTAAAAATTATTTATTCCAGGTTAAACAATAATTTAATAATAGTTTAGGAAAACCACATGATACAGAATACAAAATGTACATTTTAAAACAGTTTCATATACATGCCAAATGCATGCTCTGCACTGAACAGCAAAAATGTGTCCGAACAATTCGGTCACAGACTCCAAAAGAACAAAAGAAAATTAGTTCATCTTTATATATTACATTAGAAAAAAATAAAATGTATTCCTCCACAAATAAGCATTTTAACATAACATACAGTACTTATATTACCACCACAGTTTTGTACATATTCATAAGTGACAATTTTGTTATTAAAGCTAGTCTGGGTTTAAGTTCAGTCTGCTGGAAGCTTGGCTTCCATTTCCAACGTAGTCCCCCCACTTATGACCATTCCAGCAATGTTTTCTTACTCTTGCAAAATATAATTCGTGTTTACAATGAGTATTTCTTCTTGAAATTTTAAGCTGGCAACATACAAATATTACAAAGTCTGTATATCAGATTGTATATGACTGCCTATTTTTTTCCTTTAAATCGAACAAGAGTTAGCCCGTTTTCTAGGAACGGGCTCTCGAACCATGCTGTCTTTTTTACATATACAAGCTGAACATATTGTCTCTGACAATCTCCACAGTCCCAACCTAAAAACACTATTTGACAGACTATATATTACACAGTTACAAAAACTATTGCTAATAGCAAGCCAGGTTGTTACAAAAGAGAGTGATGGATTTTCCAGCACCTTAGTGCTCTCTAGCATGAAATATATAATGTAGGGAAGCCAGAGCACATAAAACACACTGGTTATACGAAATAAAACCATAGCATAGCGGCTATCTGGGCTATGTCCAGTTTCTGCAGCAGTATCTACTTCATGACTAGGAAACTGAGCTCTCCTGTCATTTATCTCTTTGGTGTGCTGCCGGCAAATTTTAAATATGTGGAAATATGTAAAACAGATTATAAAGGCAGCTGGAGCATAGAGTAAGCACACAATAAATCCAGTAAAATAGGCATTGGTGAGCCAAGAAGCTGCACACCATTCAAAAACGTCTCCATGATAACCTGGCTTTCCCCAACCAAAATAGGAAGGCAGGAAGATAACACCCGAGTATAGCCAAATCAAAATAATGCAGATCCTCAATCGACAGGGGGTGACCAACTGGTTATAGGAGAGTGGTTTTGTGATGGCAAGGTAGCGATCCACACTAATGAAAGCAAGGCAGGCCATAGAAACACTTTTCAATACAGAAATGACATACACAAAAATTTGACAAGTTAAGGACTCATGAACACCTACAGAATAGTGAAGCAATGACAAAGTAGGAATTAAGCAACTAATCCCAACAAAAAGATCAGCATATGCCATAGTCTGAATAAAGTAGCTGGTGGTATAATGATGCAAAAGTGGAGCACAGTGAATGACAAAAAGTACTGTTAAGTTACCAGTAATAATTAAAAATGTTAGTAAGATAATAACAATAGTCTCAAGGATGCAAATGTCAATGGTGTTATAATGTCCAAATCCAAAAGGGCAGGATAGATGCTCAGATACATTCACATTACTATCATTCATATTCAGATTCTTCCATTCAGTCCATGTGAACTGGTTCATAGTTTGTATTATTTGACAATATAGTCGGAATTCCAGTTACTAGCGATCCATTGTTCACCTGCTAATCTTTTTCTGTGCTTCAGTTTCTCCATGTAAATATTAACATTGCTTCTGAATAATCAGCACTGAAATCAAGAAAGCAGGCAGAAAGGCCACTATCCAGCTTCTTCTTGTACTCTTTCCTTTCTCAGCAAAGTACAAGGCACTTTTAAACAAAGCCAATCATTCAAACTACACTTTTGAAAGGCAGAAATACAAAAATAGCAGGGTGGGAAGAAAAGAAATACACAAAATTGCAGTTAAAAATTCTGAAAGTAATTTTCCTGGGGAAGGGAAGAATTTAAAAGAACAAAGCCATGTTAAAAATGTTCCATATGTTATTTTTTAAACCAAATAACAGTATTGTTTAAGAACAATGTGACTAAGAAATCCCGTAAAATGTTTATTCTGGTATATGGTATCTTTTGGCTTTCAGATCATAGCATTCCTTGTATCATCTTAATCAATTCTGCATTTGTATGGATATTGTTCGAACACATGAATGCAAACTAGCTTCATTAGTCTTTGGTGATGTGTTAAGAAATATAGTTAAAGTAGTAACTGATATATGGAGACTCATGTCACCCCTTTGATGAACTAGATCTTCTCTGTTTAGTTAAGAAGATAAAATAAAATAAAGAAAAGGCACACACTGGCATAGTATTAGCGCTTCAACAGCTAATTCAGTTTGAAACACGTTGCCGACCTTAATGTCAAAATGTCAACAAGATAATCCAAGCTTCTCACAGAACACAAAACTGTCTTGCATTTAATGTCAGGAAAAACAAAGTGAAATCATTGACTTCTGAAATTAGGCTACAACTCCAACAACATAGGATCATTAAAGTGAAGTTCATAGCTCTGTCCCAGTCACTTCTCACCTCTATAGCAATCTCCATATTTTTTTTCATATGCTCAACACAATGCTATCATTAACTCTCATCTACATTTTTCTGAGAAGCTAATGAAATGTTGATTTAACAAGAAAAGCTGTCATGGTACAGTATTATTCCATTTATTTTCTGGATTCATTTTTTCAGATGCTGTGTATGTATTTTCTTTAGTAATTAAAATAACCATCTGCTTCCAAAGGCTTGTATGATGTGGCAAAATATTAACCTATTCATTACATTTGCAATAATGACACATCCATGGGTTACAAAAGTTCTTTCAATACTCACTAATAAGCAGGCATTCGATACATGCAGCAGTCTTACTTTCTAATCTATCTCTACACAAATCAAATGCATTTTTAATTAAGGATCCAAAGAAATGCAAATCATCCAGTCTTAAAAAAATAAAAATCCAAAGTCACTTCAATTTTATATTAAAGCTCAGGTGAAGGGCTCTTTTTTTCCCCTTTTCCTTTTTAAAGTCCTGGAATCACACTTGTGCTATTTAATAGTCCATGGTGTGGAATTCCTTTCATGAGAGGGAGAATAAGTATTTTCCCTGCTCCTGCTGCAGCAATGGAATAGAAGACATCCTTTTCTAAGTTTCACGCCTCATGTTCCTTATCACCACGAAGTGCTGAAAATCCTTATTTTTAATGACATCCATAACATGTTGACTGTGATATGCTTCCGTAAGCAGTCCAAACTACTATAAAATTAATATTGATTGCATTCTCTTCCCGAAGCAATAAGAAAGTGTATTTGATAATACACTAGCTTTTGTCTCAAAATGAGGTATAGATGCTATCCTGTTTGCTGAAAGAGTGCTCTTTCTATTCTTTACATGTTTCCTTGTGATATTACAGTTTTCACCTAAGTCTGCCCCCTCCTCTTCATCATTAGCTGATGCAGAAAAACTCACCATCAGGAAGGTGACTCAGTCCTTCAGTCCCAGTCAAAAGCACAGCCAATGGCTATTACAGCTGAAGCTGTCACTAGGTAACAGTTGCCAGGCACAATGCTAGCTTATACCCTTCCACAGAAATCCATGAATAAGGATGACAAGGGAAGATAATGAAAATGACCAACCAAATTAATATATTACGGACTGTAGGAACAGAGACATTTTTGTCAGCTACATTCTTCCAATTAACAAGCCATAAAATATTCAATGGGGTTAACACTACAATGTCCAACACCAAATACGTTTTTACTGAACCATATACCGGAACAACACCAGTTAGCAAGTCAGCAGTAATTTAATTCTTACTGACAAGAATTCTTACTGACAAGAATATTAATTATTAAGCTCACAAAAAAGTAACAAAAAAATTCCTACAGTCAACTGACATTTCAAATTTGAGTCATTATAACAACTATAACAAAGACAAACATGTAAAATGTACTATAAAAAACACCCGTGCATTTATTTCCATGAATGCACATGGTAAATAATGATAATAATCAAATTCTCAACACATGCTACATTGCAAACTTAGATTATTATATATTATCCAAAACTACAGAATCTCTAATAGCACTATAAAATTGCTATCAGTGTAATAGCCTAGTAATTGCATCATTAAAGATCCTAAAATTATACCAAATGCAGGAGTTGTTTGTTTTCTTGAAAGAAAATGCTCTGATGTTAAATAACTGCATTGTTTGATATTATTGGATTGCTAACATCTTCTACTGGAGTACTTAGCATTTTGTAAATAGGTTAAATATGAGTGAATTGCTGTGTTCCAAAGTAACACTTCATATATTTTATTTCTATTTTTAAACAATTATTTTGGCTAACCATCTTACAACAGTGACTCCCAACAGAATACCTGGTTTAAAACACCATGATCCCATGATCTAAAGTATATAATATGTCTCAAAGCGAAAAAACACATCAACAGCAGAGCTCACCTAACTATCTGGCCCAAATACCTGGAAAAAAGCCAGGTCTTTAGAGCCTTATCAAAGGTTAACATGGTCAGGGTCATCTGAATCTCCAGGTGGGGAATGCTGTTCCACAGGGCAGGTGCTGTCATAGAGAAGGTGTGACTTCTGGGTCCAACAGGGTGGTATTATTGGATTGAAGGTATCCAGAGCATGTCCTCCCCAATAGACCTGATGGGGCAGGCAGAAACAACAGGGACAGGTGGTTCCTCGGAAAGCCTGGTCATATGCTATACAGGTGACAATCAACACACTGAATCACACTCATAAGTCTATATAATGTATAGCTTTGTCTCACATACATTGTTACTATTTTCATCATCCTCATTCTCATCCATCTTCTACCTTAGACAAAAAACTTCAAATACAGTATTTAGAGAAAATTCTTTGGTCTAGAACAGAGACTTTCCAGGGGAGATGCCCTGCTCAAAAGAACACTTTTGTGGTCTGAAAAATGTGCTATAAAGTGTTTTTCCACTAGGCATTCCAATGTTTGTTCATTTTGCTTGCAAACAGTATGGCCTCAGCTATCTGCCTTTTTATCACACAGTATTATTTTTATAAGTTTAATTTTAAGATTTGTTTTATTTTAAGCTAGTTAAATTTATGAAATATGTAGCTTTATTTTATAGTCAGTAAAGACTATAAAGAAACTCAGTTAACAAAGCATAAAATTTGATTTTACATCTTTCCCCTTGAGCTAGCATCCTCAAATAATATTTAATGTTTAGGGTCTGTAGGCTGAAAACATCATCCACCATATATATTTGACATATTGCAATATTTCAGGGTATTTTGACAGATAGCAGTATTACTAACTACTGTAATTCAACTACAACAACTCAGGAATAAAAGTTATTTAGCAACATATATTTAATTAAACTTGATGCCAGAAATGAAAAATGTCTTTTGCATCCTTCAGAAATCCTCACTACGCATAACTCTAGAGAACGGGCAGATTTTAGATTATAGATTATATCTTTTTCAACAAATAATGACATCACTGCATTTATATAAAAAGGCTAATGTTGGAGATGCAATAAAATTAATAACTTATTTAAACATCTTTCTATAGTGTTCAACAACTGTTCCGTTTAGGAAAAGTGTTACTTGTATTACATGCATTAACTCAACTTTGAGATTCAATATTTTCAGATGTTTATACTATTTTAAAGTTTATCCTATCTCATGGGAGTTGACATCTGAATAAACAAAGATTTTCTTGAATATTCAAGAATCGATTTCATTGGAAATATGGGAGACAATTTGGGTTAGAAATGTAAAATTTACTCAAGCTCAAAATTTAAGAGAAAAATTTTATAAGATGTTTTATAGGTGGCATTTGGATCCTCAAAAACTGTCCTGTATGTATCCTAATTTACAGCCCAAATGTTGGAGATGTGGAAGTTTAGATGCAACTTATTTTCATATTTGGTGGACGTGTAGGGACATAAAAGCATTTTGGATTAAGATTTGGTGGAATATTCAAAATATTTTTAAGAAAAAGATAAAGTTTACACCGCAGTTATTTTTGTTAAGTATTATGGAAGATTTGGATGTTAAAGAAATGAATTTGATGTTGAATCTTATAACAACTGCAAGATTATTGCTAGCGCAATTTTGGAAGAAGGATTGCTTGCCTACTATAGAAGAATGGACGCTTAAAGTGTCAAATTTAGCAGAAATGGCTAAAATTTCTGCTTATTTGAAGGATCAATCACAAGAACAACCAAGCTCAGAGAGCACCAAGGATCCCTCATGTCAACCCTGAGCTATAAATACTCTCCTTTATCAGTTGAATCAAAGTGTTATTCTTTTCAATATTTCTCAACTTTACTGCACTCTTCTGGGTTGCATTATCATTATCATCTTAACTTTATTGCAGTCATTAACCAGAACAAAAGAATTGGCATTCAAATACTCAGAATATCCAAAACTAAAGTGACAAATTCAGGATAGTTAAAAAAGTACTTTCAGACAAACATTTTGGTTAAAAAACAACATCAAATCAGAATATATTAAAAGGCTTATTCATACTACAGATATACAACAAGATGAAATTTAAATATGCAATCTGGATAATATGAACTTGGAATAGCACTGTAAAATATGAATATATGC